AAGAGCTGTGGAGGGGCGCGGCTGCTGCCAACACCCAGGAGGGGCACAGGGGCCGGCTGCTGGGGGATGCACACACAGAAGGGCTGCCGTGCCCCCCCGCTCGCCAGCACGGCCCGGAACAGCCTCCCTTAAGATCCTCCGGGGCCGGCAGAGCAGGGCGGCAGCCGGGACAGGAAAGCGGGGCGGGAAGCGGCGCCGGAAGAGCAAAGCGGGGCTTGTGCTCCCGCCGAGCCCGGCCGAGGGCGGCGGGGGCGCGGCCTGGGCACTCACCGAGCGCAGCTCCAGCTGCAGGACACAGCGCAGCGCTTTCCGCGGCATGGGCGGGCGGGCGGCGGGGCCCGCCGGGCCCGGGGCCGCTGGGGCTCGGCCGACGCCGTTGTCACGGCAACCGGGGCGAGTCCGGCCCGCGGGCACCGCTCCGCCCTCCGCCCACAGCCCGCTCCGCCCTCCCCGGGGGCGGCTTTGCCTCCTCCCCGCACCTTCGTCCTGCCCGCACCGCCCCTCCTCGCCGCCATCGATTCCGCAGTCCCGTTCGCCGCCGGGCAGGAGAGTTATTACACGCTCTGCCCGCAGTGCCGGGCTCTGTCTTGTCCCCATCCCATCCCAGCGGTGTAGCCCCTCCGTAGCTTTCCGCAGGGCCTCCTGCCCTCACAGCATCACGGAGTCAATTTGTTTGGAAAAGGCCTCTTTGAGATCACTGAGTCCAGCCTGTGGCTGAGCACCACCATGTAAACCAGACCATGGCACTCGGTGCCACCTCAAGTCTTCCCTTAAACACCTCCAGGGACGGTGATTCCGCCACCTCCCTGGGCAGCCCATTCCGATGTTTAATGACCTCTTCTGTGAAGAAATTTCTCCGAATGTCCAATCCAAACCTCCCCTTGTGCAGTTTAAGAATATATCCTCCCGTCCTGTCGGTAATACTGTCCCTCTTCCCTGCTAATCCCTCAACTTCCTCAGGTGCTCCCTTCACGGGCTGGCTCATGCTGGCACTGTCCGCGTGGACTCTGGTGCTGATGGAGAGCTGCTGGGCTGTATCAAAAGCCATAAATAATAGATAAAATATAATTTCCAGCTTCTCTGCCTTCTGAAAGGCCAGACAGCTACAGTGATGGGTGCTGTGTTGGGTGATGGAGAGCTGGTGTGAAAGCTGAAGCGTCCGGCATGGGGCAGGGCACCAGACAGGTCACAGACAAGGACAGCGCTGCCGTGGGGCATCCAGGAGGAGTGTGAAGCTCAGAATGTGTCAGATCCATCCATCTTCTTGGGCTTCCTGCAGAAAGGAGCCAACAGAGCCTTCCTGTCAGCAAAGGGGTCACAACCAAGTTTTGTACAACTCTAGGGCTGAATAGCTAAAAAGCACTAAATTGCCATTACCTTACATTACATTACCATGTTTTCTTTTTTTTTTTTTTTTTTTTTTTTTTTTTTTTTTTTTTTTTTTTTTTTTTTTTTTTTTTTTTTTTTTTTTTTTTTTTTTTTTTTTTTTTTTTTTTTTTTTTTTTTTTTTTTTTTTTTTTTTTTTTTTTTTTTGTCTTCTTTTAACACAATTCACCTGCATCCTGTTGTAGGCATCTGGGCCCTTTTGACTCGAGTATCCTGTTTTAATGTCCTCTGTGGGTGAGACATGGTGGACACGGTATATTCTGACTGGTCCCATGTTCAGAGACTTGTCTGCATGCTTATGTCTAAAACTGTCTGTTCATGCTCATCTTTCCACTTTCATTACTGTACCAACTCAAATTTATGCCACTGATCTTGATCACTATTTTGATCGTATCAAAGATATTCCCCGGCGTCTTTGCTGCTAAATTGTTTTCAGAGTATTTACAATCACATACAACACCAAAATAGTCTGACTTTATGTCTTGGCAACTGCAAGTCGTTTCAGCCTCAGACTGTGAAGGGATTTAAGCCTTTAAATATTCTTTCCAAATTCACAAGTATAGCTGGAGAGCAGGAAATTTTAATTGCCTCCAAAAGAGAGCAGTGGCTCAAATGTATCCTTCATCTTTCTTTATTTTAATTTTACAATTTCAAAGAAAAATCATGCTAAGTGATCTGGAAAGAAACAGAATTCTCAAAATGTTTTGATTTCTTTTATATATTTTTTTAAGGAAACTGCAAAGAACATAATATGCCAGTGGAAACAAAAGTGAAATATATAGATAGACTAAATATCACTACTAATACATGATATCAGCCTTTTAAAAAAAATAAATGACTGAAAATGCAGGCCTTGGTTTCATTAATGTAACTTCTGTAACAGCTGTGAGGGGGTTTTTTGTTTGTTTGTTTGTTTATGGGGTTTACGTGTTTTGGTTGTGTTGGTTTTTGTTTGTTTTTTTTTTGCCTGAGCAAAGGACTTTGTATTTAAGGCCTGGAAAAGCCTCATTTTTGAACTGTAGACTTCTAGTACATATATTAAGGAGGAGTTGACACTTGGATAAAATCATTTTCTCAGCATTATCAGTCTCAAGGTTATGAATAGCATTCCAGAGTTAATGAGAAGAAAATTCTCACAGATCCATAGCCTCAGATGGTATAATACTGGTAGCAGTATTAAAATGGTTTATTGCTTATTTTCAGCTACCTTTCATATACATGCTTTTTGGAGGGATAAATAATGTGTTAAAGATTGTGAAGTATGAGATATTATGGTAAGTGTGGCCATATAAGAACAGAAGATAGATAAATGCTGAAATCAAGAATGGCATCACGTTTGTGATGAGAATTTAATATCCATGTGCAGTGCCCTGGAACAGAAGTACTTTATAGCCCTTGAAAAAGGAGCATGAGGCAGGACAAAAAGCTTCTTGAAAGTGATAAGGCAGTGATGAATTTCAGTGCTTTTCCCTGGTAAACCCTCTGGTCTGCAGAGTTTCTGCTACTTCACCTCTCTGGGCCTGGGGAAGAAAGGCTGCTGCTGCAGTGTTTTCTTGTCCAGCCCTTTATGCAACAGTGCAAGACCCATCTGGACCTTCTCATTTTGTTAAATGCATGCATATTTGCACTGCAGGAACAATAATGCAGGAATCTGGGGGACAGTGAGGGAGAACCCCTGACTTTCTGTTAAAATCCATGTCCAATAAGCAAAACTGATAACCAAAGCAACAAAAAAGATGCATGCTACTGTAATAGACCTGAGGTTTTAACTGCTGTAAAGTTTCCCTGCTGTGATAGCACATGAATTCCTTTGCTTTTACAGCAGTAAATCTTCTTGTAACACTACTTATACTTAGTTCTGTGTATTAAAAGAGCTTGAATGACAGTTCTGCATTGTGTTAATTTTTTTTTTTTGCAATCTCCTCCAATTATAAGCCTCATCTTTTCTTGTCCTCTGGGGCCTCCAACGTGGCTCCTATGGAAGAGCTCTGATATCATAAAAATATTCAATTTTGCTCTTATTTCTACTATTACAAACTAGGAGTAACTGTCAAAAGAGTGAGGTTACACTGGTTTAAGATAATTATCATAAGATTTATACTATATTGCTGCAGGGCTCCTTATGGTCAGGCTTCAGCGCATTGAAGTATGTTACAAAATAGTTGAAGTGGGAAAAACAGGAAGAGTTAGGTTTGCAAACAGTGGGTATTCCACAGCTCAGAATCTGAAAAATACTGGGGTTTAGACAGAATTAGATCAGATAAGGCTGGAGATCAGAGAACAAGTCTAACATCACCAGGTTTGTCAGAGGCTCACTTTAAGCTAAGAAGCCAAGAATGTTTTTCCCTTAAGCTTAGGAAGCATTACGCTGTGGGGGCAAAGTGGTATTGCACGGTCATTCTGGCAATCAGAATGAAGGAAATAAAGGAGCTTTCCACATTTTACCACCCTCTGCTGCAGTCCTTAGGAGTGTTGTCAGAGATCCATTTCGGCCTACTTTGAACCCCTGATGTTGATCGAGCAGCCGGCGATGTCTGTCTTACTGCACATCGAGCCCGTTATTTAGATATCATCACCATGCATGACTGACTTGTCATTAATAACTGTGGAGAATTCTAGGAAGACATCTGCTCAAATAACAGCAATAAATTACGAGATATGGTAAGATTTCCACGTTAGAAAGGCAAACAAACAAAACATTAAGACATTTTACTTTGGAGAGGAGAAAAATAAGATGTAATGCAAAGGAGGTACATAAGGGATTGAATGACATGTAGAAATGGGTACTTCTGTTTGCCTATGCCTATTTATCCTTTCAGAGGACACGTGCAATGAAATTAAAAGACAACACAATCAAGACTGATAGAAGAAAGTACTTTAGGTAGTGGAACTCGTTACCACAAGATACATTTGACAGCGTTCAAAGCAGAATTGCAGTGCTTTCGGGACCCCACCGGACAATACCCACATGTGTTACTTATTCTGATCTTCTGACTTGCTGCTGCTGGTTAAATGTGCAATTCACAAAAGTCATTCCCAGTGCATAGAATTGTAGTCAAGGAAAACAGCCAGCAGAAGTTTAGACTAAACAATGCCAGAACACTATAGAGCAGAGCTGGAAGAATTTTGTAATGTGAGAGATTCTAATAGGATCTAAGGGGACCGAAGTGAATTGCATTACTGCAGACAGTAATGTAATGAGGAGGCAGAGCGTTAGATTATTGATGAGGACAGAGGATGGAGATTACCTGAGGGTGTCAGCACACTCTTCACAAAATACATTTTCATCTAATCTTTCTACTTTAAAGCAGGAAAAAAAGTTGCCCAGAAGTTAGCATTCATTAATATCTATTGCTTTAGAAAAAGGCCACAATGATTTTGTCGATCCTGTCTTATTGAGCATCTTGCTCTTTCTCGACGTGCACAGACACAACCGGGCAGGGCTCTTGGCTTCCTTGATGAATCTACAAGTTGTTACAGGCAAAAGGCCACCTGCTCGTGTTGTTGTGTAGGCAAAGCAGTGACCTTTCTTCCCCGTTCCCTCCCAGTCTCACTAGTGCCTATTGAAGAGCATTTTCATTACAGATCTGAAAATACTCAACGCCTCTCTGATATTTAACAGTGGCTCAGCCATGGCAGAGCATTTCCTCCATATTGCTGCTAAGTCAATACTGGCTTTGGTGGATGTGACCATTAGCTTCGGTCATTCTTGATGTATATCATGCCTGCAGCAGAAAAATAGGCAGGCTACCTTAAGACATGGAAGTTTTCATAATATGTAAGCTGTTTTCCAGGTCTGCTAAATTCTTTCTTGACTGGCTGCAGCTAAAGAAATCAAACCTGATTTGATTACAGCCACTAGAGGAATATTCCAGATCTTGAATTCAGTTGTAGTAATTGGAAACCTGTGTTGTAAAGGAATAATCTAAATTCATCTAAGAGATAACTTCTATAAATACAGTCTTTTGAATTCAGAAATGGTGC